AAAAAAAAAAAAAAAAAAAAAAAGTTAATGAGTTGACCTGCATCGTAAGCGGCCGTGCTGGGATTAAACCTCCAGCAGCCCATTACTCAGCTACATAGATGGACTTTGCAAGAATCACACTTGGTCCAAGGATTGGGTTCCACTCCCACACTTTCCTGGGCTTGCCCCAGCCTGCCGCCCCACTGCCCAGAGCTGAACTGCCTCCTGAGCCCCCTTCCCTGTGTGTCTGTGCTCTGCAGAGGGGAGCACAGCAGGGCCCCAGGAGTTGGACATGTGGCTGCTGGGGACAGTTCAAGCACTACAGGAGAGCATGCAGGAGGTGCAGGCGAGGGTGCAGAGCCTGGAGAGCATGCCCCGGCCCCCCGAGCAGGTGAGTCCCCCACCCCATCGGACAAGATGACGGCAGAATCTGGTCTCTGTTCTGGGGTCCTCATCCAGCCACTTTTGTTTTTGTCCTCACGCCTCCACCTGCCCACCTCTCTCTCCAGAGAATGGCGTGGCTCCCACAGCAGACAGGAGGTGGGGGTGAGGGTGGAGGGGGCTGATGTGCTTCCACTCTGAAGGCAAAGTGGGCGGGGCCCTTTGCCGTTCTCCCCTCCCTCTGCCTGGAGAGAAGCTAAGCCGCAGGACTAATCCCGCGTGGGAAGGTCATGATGTGTCTGCTCTGGGCATTGAGGACGCTGGTCCCTGTTGTCCCTCTGTCAGGTCTTCCATTCCCAGAATTAGGATTTGCCCCAAATGGTTCAGCCCTTGCATCCCTCTCACCTCCTAGCTCTGCTTGCCCCTGACACTTGGGCTCCTGGGCTTCTGCAAACTAAATAACAGCTGCCATTGCTGGAGCCCCGCTAGGCGCCAAACACTCATGGGCATCTTCCCACTGAATTCACACAACAGCCCTAGGGATAGAGTTTCTTTTCACCTCCCTTTTAGAGAGGGAAACTAAGGCTCCAAAGGGCTAATTTGCCTGAGGGCACATAGCCTGGGACAGCCTCTCTGAGCTGCTGTGAGGATTCAACCATGCATGTTGGTGCTTCCGTGGTGCCCACCACATAGAAAGCCTTCTCCAGTCGGTTCTGTTGCTACTATTGCTGTTAATATTAACACTAAGCGATGGAGTTGGCAGTGGTCCCTGGTCTGTCTGCCTGCAAAGCTGGTACCCACCATTAACTCTGAGTGGGTCTGTTCTTGAAAAGCCTGAGGTGGTGGGGGCAGGAGAGGGCTGGATTCCCAGATGTGAGGGGTCTCTGGGGTGACCTCTAACCCACTCAGCACAGCAGGGGTGAGCCCACAGCAGCAGGATTTCCTCAGATCCACGATGGCTAACTTTTCAACACTGCCCCTCCCCCTCAACAGGGCTTGCTTTCTTTTCTTTTTTTCTGTTTTTTTTTTTTTTTTTTTTTTTTTTTTTTTGAGATGGAGTCTTGCTCTGTCGCCCAGGCTGGAGTAGAGTGGTATGATATCGGCTCACTGCAACCTCCGCCTCCTGGGTTCAAGTGATTCTCCAGCCTCCAGAGTAGCTGGGACTACAGGCGGCACCACCATGCCCGGCTAATTTTTGTAGTTTTAGTAGAGACGGGGTTTCACCATGGTCCCCAGGATGGTATCAATCTCTTGACCTCGTGATCCACCCACCTCAGCCTCCCAAAGTGCTGGGATTACAGGTGTGAGCCACCACGCCTGGCCCCCTTTTCTTTTTTTCCTACCATTTACTACTTTTAAATGTTGAAGATTTTAAAGTAGATTACAGGCCAGCATGGTGGCTCATACCTGTAATCCCAGCACTTTGGGAGGCTGAGGAGGGAGGATCTCTTGAGACTGGGAGTTCAACACCAGCCTGGGCAACATAGCAAGATCCTGTCTCAAACAAACAAACAAACAAGGAAAAACAGATTATAAACATCATTATGTTCCACCCCGAAAGAGTTGGGTTCATATCTCTCAAAATAGGCCAGGCGTGGTGGCTCACGCCTGTAATCCTAGCAATTTGCAGACCAGCCTGGCCAACATGGCGAAACCCCGTCTCTACTAAAAATACAAAACTTAGCTGGGCGAGGTGGCAGGCACCTGTAATCCCAGCTACTCAGGAGGCTAAGGCAGGAGAATCACTTGAAACTGGGAGGCAGAGGTTACAGTGAGCCGAGATTGTGCCATTGCACTCCAGCCTAAGTTACAGAGCAAGACTCTGTCTCAAAAACAAACAAACAAAAATCTCTGAAAATAAGAACATTCTACCTAGCCCAAACATCATATTATACACAATTATTAATTTCTTAATATCATGAAATATCCGATCCAAATTCCAGTTTCTCCAGTTATCCTGAAACCACCTTTTCCAGCTGCTGTTTTCCAGTCTAGGACCACACATTGCATCTGTTCCCTTTTCAATTCTCTGTTAATCTAGCTTAGTCCTTCTCCTTGCTATTGACTTGCTGACCAGTCTGAGCTGGTGTCCTATAGAATGTTCCACCTTTTGGGTCTAATTACATCCTCATGGGTGGTTTCTCGATATACATTTCCTATGAACTGGAGGTTAGATCTAAACACTGGATTAGAGTCAAATTAAACATTTGGGCCGGGCATGGTGGCTCACGCCTGTGATCCCAGTACTTTGGGAGGCTGAGGCAGGCAGATTGCTTGAGCCCAGGAGTTTGAGACCAGCCTGGGCAACATAGTGAGACCCTGTCTCCACAAAATATATTTTTAAAAATTAGCTGGGCATGGACTGAAGCAGGAGGATTGCTTGAGCCCAGGAGATTGAGACTGCAGTGAACTATCATGGTGTCATTGCACTCCAGCCTGGGCGACAGAGTGAGACCTTGTCTCAAAAAGACACAAAACACAAAAAACCGCAACATTTTGGACCAGACTACATCAGAGGTGATGTTTTTTCATGGCAGAGGACACATGCTATCTGGATGTCCCACCATTAGTAACTCTAGCATGGACCACTGGCATGGTTGAAGGGAGTCTGATCCCACCATTGTAAAGTCATGTTTTGCTCCTGCAGTCAGATAATATCCAGTCCCGCATCAACTCCATTTGCCAGTTTTTGACAATTGCTAATCCTTGCCTGAGTCAATAATTTAGTGATTGCCAAAAAAAAGCTGACTTTTAAATGCTACGATTCCTTTAACATCTATTAGCTATCATTTGTGTACTGTTTCCCTCATCATCTTGGGTTTCCCTGAAATACAGTGGAAAGGAAGGGTAAATGCTTCATTCTTTATCTTTAGTTATCTATTTTTAAAGTAAGAAATTAATTTAGGCTGGGTACCGTGGCTCACACCTGTAATCCCAGCACTTTGGGAGGCTGAGGTGGGCGGGTAGATCACCCGAGGTCAGGAGTTTGAGACCAGCCGGACCAACATGGTAAAACCCCGTCTCTACTAAAAATACAAAAATTAGCTGGGCATGGTGGCAGGCTTCTATAATCCCAGCTACTCAGGAGGCTGAGACAGGAGGGCAGGAGAATCGCTTGAACCCAGGAGGCGGAGGTTGCAGTGAGCTGAGATTGTGCTGCCGCAT